TGTGTGAGAATTTGGAATCTATTGTGTAACTGCAGCTGAGCGGAAGTATTCTGAGGAGGCTTCCGGGTCCTAAGTGTCCTTCTAAGGGTGACATTCCTCCAAGCCTGAGGGTTGTCCACATCTGAGGTGCTGTTCTGTTGAGCCTCCCCGTAATGTTGGTGTTAAGCTGCACTTTGATTTTTTGTATTATTTTTGCCATTATTTTGGAAAATATTTTTATTACGTTAATATTTTGCATTATTTTTGTGATTATTTCAGATAATATTTTTTATTTTGTTTTATACATTATTTTTGTTATTATTTCAGAGGACATTTTAATTACTATTTTGATTTTTCCATTATTTTGGGGGATTATTTTGGGGACTATTTTAAATATTATTTTGATTTTTTAACATTATTTTCAGGGATTATTTTGAGGAATCTTTCTATTATTATTTTGATTTTTTGCATTATTTTGGGGATTACTTCAGGGAATATTTATTACTATTATTAGGATTTTTTGCATGATTTTGGGGAATTATTTTGGGGAATATTTATTATTATTATTTGTGTTATCTTCAGGCATTATTTTGGAAAATATTTTTTATTTTGATTTTTTTGCATAATTTTTGGGGATTATTTTGGAGAATATTTTTATTAATAATATTTTGCGTTATTTTGTGATTATTTCAGAAAATATTTTTTATTATTTTGATTTTTATCTTATTTTTGTTATTATTTCAGAGAACATTTTAATTATTATTTTGATTCTTTGCATAATTTTTGTGATTATTTCAGAGAATATATTTTATTATTATTTTGACTTTTTGCATTATTTTGGGGGATTATTTCAGAGAATGTTTTTATTGTTATTTTGATTTTTTGCATTATTTTTGTGATTATTTCAGAAAATATTTATTATTATTATTTTAATATTTTGCATTATTTTGTGATTACTTCAGAGAATATATTTTAATTATTATTTTGATTTTTTGCATTATTTTCCGTTATTCTTTTTTGTGTCAGGAGCAATTTCAAAAACTGCAAGTCGCTTCTGATGTGATAGAATTGGTTGTCTGCAGCCCAGATGTTTGATATTTTGAGGTTTTACCATCCTGTGGGAGGCTTCTCTCCTGCAGAGCTTCAATGGCCCTCCGAAATGCTTAAGAGTTGCCAGCGGTCTTTCAGGCAGGGCTCCTTGAGCTTCACTTCAGCATGTTCTTGATGTGAGAAAATCACACCAAATTGGCATTAGCTGCACACGGGTTAGAAAGCGGAGGAGCCCCAGCGGGGAAAGGAGTTGGCAACCATAGCATTGGAAAGAGAACACAAAGCTACAATGAAGACAAAGGCGTGCAAATTTAAATAAAAGCTCATGTTTAATCTGCAATTTTAAAAAAATTCAAAGGTGTGTTGAGAGAAAACCTGAGACAGAAAAGAGCACCGGAATCGTCATATTTTCCCCATCTTGGTCCAGAATTTAAGAAAAAAGATGCAGTCCTGCTGAATCAGATGGGTAAACGAATGGCCACCAGAAAGGAAACAAAAATCTCCCAAGGCTTTTGCCAATAATTTATCCAAATTTCGAAATCAGAAGTGCTGGTGTGTGTTAACAGCAGGCATCGGGGTGAAGGAAGTCCCGTCCAGGACGAGGAAGCGACGCCTTGGCTTCCACAATCGAAGGAAATGGGGGTTCGACGTCACCGCCATCTCATTCCTTGTCACTGAAGTGAAGGAAGCTCTGCCGCTGCTCGAAGGATGTGGAGAAGGCCCACGTTCAGTCTCATATTCAAACGCCTCAAGCCAACGAAGAGGAGAAGGAGGGCTGGAGGACCACGTTCTCGTCGTTCGTCTTTTTCGGCCTCTCAGGGTGCAAAAAGAACCCTGGAAAGGAGGAAAAGAGGTGTGTTATTTGGGCCGCAGTTGTGCAATGGGTTAGAAACCTGCCGACAAACCGGAGGGTTGTGTTAGGGATTCCTCATCTTCAGAAGAGGAAGGAGAGCAGGAAAGCGTTCAGGAATTTGCGGGGGAATTGGAGTCAGAGGACAAGGTCGTACAAGTGCCCACATTTCCGGAAAGGTGAAAGGAAACGGAGCAGAGAAGGCGTTCAGCTAGATAGCTACTAGAAACGCCAAGGTAATTGGGAGCCACCCTAGCACCTCCTGAGAAAAATGTATAATATCAGGAATTTGCG